ATTTATCTTCAATTTTACACAGATACCTAATTCTGGGGACCACCTCATACTAGTAAAAGAAGAGCATTTTCAGAACTGTGAAGGAGAATGTGTATTTTTAGACCTCCCTTGTAGTTGCCACGCTTTTTCGCTGATTAAAAAGTTTAATAAAAAAAAAATAATAATAAAAAAAAAGTTGAAAATAAAAAGAATTAAATAAAATAAGAAAAAAATAATAAATAAAAATAAAAATAATTGAATTGAAAACTTGAGATTGTAAGACCGAAGGTGGAAGTGCGTGCAAATTATGCCCTAGCTCAGAACTAAACAATTCGGAGAGTAGGGGTGGGTTTTCGTTTTGGGCGCCACCGACTCTGAACAGATGAGTCGGACTCTCCAGGATGGTATCTGGCTTCAGGTCCTTACAATTCAAATAATGATTAATAAAAAGAAAAATATTAGCAAAACCAGGCTGTGTGCATAAAACCAAATATTCACCAAATGGCCGCAGTCCACAATGAACAATAATTTGAATTTAAGAAAAAATAATAATCAAGTAAATTAGCAATTAATAAAATGACCTTGTCATGAAGCGTTAACTAACAAATACAGAAATGCAATACTATGTCATGAACAGTTAAATTTAAATGCAAAAATGTCATTGAAACTCAATAACTAACTAAGTAATTAAAAAAAAAGGTATATATGAAAAGTAAGGTTTGAAAATCTAAAAAAAAAAATAAAGAAAATAAGAGAAAAAAAAACAATAACGCAGAATTAGTTCTCGGAACGGTTATCTTACACTTACGTAACCAGAACTACCAGTAAGTTGACATTAATTAATCAGGTTATGTCTAGTTAAGTTACCTATTTAATAATTCCTTTGCCACACTAGGGCAAGCAATTAATTATTCCCCGAAAGACCGAAAGTGATCACAGTGGTGTACAAATAGGGACGGGATGTAAATAAACAATAATAATATGTGAGTTAACTAAAACTAGTACGATACCAAAATGTTCCAGATGATGGTGGTTCATTCAATTAACCAGATTAGTCCTGGCTACTGGTTGTGGTTAACTTGATCGATGACTTGAGTAACCGTCCGATTACTTAGGCTGGTGTCTGTTAGCCTTTTAGTTCAATTTCGGTTACAATTGAACGTCTATTGTTATAACCGTGAGGGTAAACTTGATGGTAAAGTAAAACCCCTCGTAAAAAAAACCCTAAGAGAATAATTGTTATACACACTCTATTTGTAATTGAACCAATAGCGAAGCACTTCATGAATAAATTGAATTAGAAAATGAAACTATAATGTAATTCAATTAGTTTCCAATAGCAAATTTACTTGATAAAAGACTATAGCTCTTGAAAATTATTTTAATAGAAAAATTGAACATTAAGGTATTAATTAATTTAATTGGATGAAATCATAATAAAGCTTTTCATATTAATTAAGAAAAATGTGCCTCGAGTTGGCAAAAATTGTTAATAAGGTTATATTTTTACCTGTTGGAAATAGGGTTCGTTTGCCTCGAAAATCTCCGGAAATCTGCATCGAGGTCTGGATTGAATATCCTGGAGTGAGTGAGATTATTCTCTACTCTTTAGGGCAGCTTTCAACTCATAATTGAATGGAAAAAGTCAGAATCTTCCATGGAAAAAAACGTGCAAGCAACTTACCACAAATGACTGTTTTTTTTTTTTAATCCGATAACATCGGCGAAAATTATGGCACTTTACGAAAGTAAAACACAACGCAAGGTAACTCAGTGTGCCAAAAATTCAATTCAGAAGAAAATCAGGCCCAAAATCCCTTTTTAAGGCGAAGACAAAAATTAATTCTTCTGGAGGACCTTCTTCTTCAAACAGTCAACGTGAAAGGAAAAGTGCTGCACAATAGATCAACGAGCTAGCCTAAAGGTAGATTCAGAGATGATGCAGAATAACGACAAACGTCAAAAATCAATCGATAGAATTGTCACTTACCAAAAATTGCACACAACAATATAATTCGAGAAAAATGACAACGGCTAATGAATAATGATATTAACAACAAATAATCATCCCATAAAACAATCAAAACTTGAAGAATACAAAATAGAGTAAGTGATCCGTTTGCAAAATTAGAGGGCTCAAAGAAGAATCGACGATACTGGAAACATTACTAATCGACCGCCGGCTGACAGAAATTATTGACAATCAAAAAGTCAAAAAAACGAAATCAAGGATAATGCACAAAATATCTCAAAGACCATCGAACCAATGATCGACCCGGGGTTTGCTAGAACTTGCGCCGAGATCAATAGCGCTCAATAACCGAACAGAGTAAGTACGAACGGAGAAGTTCTGTACATACACTTGAAAACGGGTCATTATGAACACAACCCCACGAAATATTTTTGACACATGAATTATTTAATTTTGTTATGAAAACAGATGTTCGAATTTAAAATTGGAATCAAAATATTGCTTTGTTTTGATTTTGAAATTGAATTAAATCATGGATTAACAGGAACTAGTAACAAATAAAAATAGAATTTGCCCATTGAAAATTAGGAAATTTAAAGGATCTACAACCGTTGAGATTATTGATGAAATTTTATAGAGAAAATGTTGACAAATTTAAGGAAATCTTGAATATAAAATCGAAAGTAGGTAAGAATTATTTATGCAAGTTTGGACTGTTACATAGTGACAATGACGTTTTAGATTTGTGTAGAATTATTTAAATGAACATAAATAAAAATATATGGAAGTTGTACAAACTGGGTTTAGAATTACAAACTCACCGCTCGAGTATGACTGAAAAGTCAAACGTTTGACTTTTTATTTCAAACGTTTGACATAAAAAAAATGGTTTGAGCCCCAAGCGCTTCCGTACGTTCCTCATTTTTATTTTTTATTGGTATTAAAAGTGGCATCAGTCTTCCATGAGAAAATTTTAAACTTATATCATTGTATCTACTATACTATAACAATTGAACCAAATCCGATGTTGTTCAATGTGAAGTCGCTAAACGCGAACAGATACGAGAATTTTAAATGTACAGGTTTTGGTACAATAGTATTGCAGCAAATACCCTGGGACTGGTGGCCTGGCGCACGCCCCCGCAGACCTTGAACCCAAACACACAACAGCCAAGTAACAAGCACAGATTGCTAAGTACGAGTCATAATGTAGGTATATTATATGCAGCCTAATGCAAATGCAGCAACTGGCAAAGCAAACGGCAAAACATTTAAATATTGCCTCTTTGGATTCTTTGGAATATGATTTTTGACTGAATTGATTAAAGATTATGGTACATAATATTTATTACTTAAACAAGAGTTAGGTGGGATTAAGGATTTATTTTCTGTCGCATTGTTGTTAGAGTTCCTTGACAATTTGCGTAAACTGATCAGCCAATTGATTGGGTAGTTTTGTTGTTATAATCGCTATAAAAACCAGTTGTTTGAGTTTCATTTGCATTTGTGTTATGGTACGTCGTTAAATTAGCAACAGATTCAGAAATGAAGATCTTTATTTTACTGTCGACCAAATAAGTAGTGCCACAAATGAAATAAATCAAAAACTCTATTCTAAAAGATTCTGTAACATCAGCAAACTCGGTGGAAATACCTAATACTGGGAGTGATGTACGTCCTGTACGTCACATACTAAAAAATCACTTGTTCTGGGAGGGATTGAAGAGGGAAGATTCCGCTCCAAAAATGTAAATGAAATCAGATATCGAAAATTTTGTAGCACCAACAAAGTTGGTGGAAATATTGCTTGAACAGGTACGGATATGCCCCAATAGCACAAAATATTTTCTAAATATTTATTTTATATTGGCTATATCTTAAATCTTTTTTAAATATTTATTATCAAAAACAAATATTTATTAAATATTAGATATAAAATATTTTTTTACAGATATTCTTAACATATTTTTCTAATATTTTCAAATAAAGGTTTTTTTTACAAATATTTTCAAAATATTTTTTAAATATTCTTAAACAAAGGTCTTTTTACAAATATTTTTAACATATTTTTTAAATATTCCTAAATATAGGTTTAAGTAAAAACATAAAATGAATATTTATCTAAAAATTTTAGGAAAATATTCTATGTAAAATATTTAAAAAATGTACCTACAAGAAATATATTTTTCTAAATATTTTATTCCATAAAACTGTTCTATACATATAGGACGAGGTATGGTATAGCAGGAGAACACTGCAGGGTTTATTTATTACCAGCATTTATTTTATCATACCATTCATACCTAATTCTATTTCAAATTTCAATGAAAATTGAAAAAAATATAAAAAGTCATATCGCATCGCTGGGGATCGAAAACACTGCGCGGGCGCGGACACTTCACAGTTCACGGGCATCCATACGAATCTGATAAACATGCGCTGTTGCCAGCTGTAAGTATTTATCTCCAATTCTAGACATCTTTCTGTTATTATTCTTTGGGTTTTTCATTTTTGGCATTGAAATTTGAAATAAAATATAAAAAGTAGCCTCCTATTTTCGGTTTAGCGTGAATTATTATTATACTATAAAATCATAGCAAAAATCAAATCTTTATAAATACTTTAAAAGTCTTTCTAGGCTTGCGGCTTCAGTCGGCTTTTTGGCAACCGGCAACACTGTGTTAGGGACGCCATCCGCATTCCGCAAGTTGACTTGACGAATTGGCTTGGCCGCCATTATCCTTTCCATTTTCCATTTTACAATCGCATCGTTTTATCATTGGTTTTATCTTTTATCCGTTTTGCCTCTTCTGAGGTTTTGCCCTTCGCCTCTTTGTGTTTCCCGGTTTTTAATATAATAGTACCTAATAATTACCTACCTAATTAATTATATTTGTAAACCCTAGTTGTTGTCGAGCGAGGTTCTTTTAGGTTAGATGGTTCGTTTTGGATGTTGGTGTTGTGTTTCCCGGTTTATTTGTGTTTGGTGCAGTTGTTGTTTAAGGGGATTTTAGTTTGGTAATCTAATAGGTAAGTTGTATATGTAGAAATGCATGGAACACATTTTCGTCGCAGTAAAAATGCTGTTTACTGTGCTCGATACCGGCGAAAACAAAAGCTTCTTCAAGAAGCTGAAATAGCAGGTACAGCACTTACAGCAGCATTGTCTGATAAAATAAATTCAAATCTAAATGAAATACCAGGAGAAATATTTCATGAGGCCAATGAAGGAGCTTCGTCAAGCCTTAGCCCCAATGCCTCTAATGCACATGCTTTTATAGACGCTTTAGCATTGAATAATGACAAATCTTTATTAACTGTTCCAAATATTAATGTACCTTTGCCTTTAATAACTGACTCGGATGTAGAAATATCTGATGAAAATAAATCTAAAAAGTTACAGATCTTTTTGAGACACTGGAGTCTTACAAATGATATTCGGGCAGTACAACTAAATAGTCTTATTAGAGGTCTCAACGAAATATTTCCTGATATTCATTTACCTCGAGATAGTAGGACAATTTTAAAAACAAAGCGTATCAACAATTTAAACCGATTTGAACCTTCTGATATAAATAATGACAAATATTTATTTTGGCATAAAAAATATGCTTAATTTTTATTTAAAATCTGAGTGTCTGAAATATGCATTTTTAAAACAAAAAACTATAAAATTAATATTCAATATTGATGGCCTTCCATTATTCAAAAGTACTAATTTACAGCTTTGGCCCTTGTTGTGCAGAGTTAACATTGAAAATTTTCGAATATCCCCATTTCCTGTAGCCATTTATTGTGGTACGTGTAAACCAAACAATATTGAACGTTATTTCCAGGATTTTATTCCCGAAATCAACGATCTAATATCTAACGGTCTTGTTATAGGAAACACCAATATAAAAATATGTTTACTTGCTTTTACATGTGATGCTCCTGCACGTTCATTTATCAAATGTACTATAGGGCACAATGGTACTTACGGCTGTGATCGATGTGATCAGAAAGGTACATACTATAAAAATAGAATAGTGTATTTGGGTTCTGTTCGTAAAGAAAGAACTAATGACGAATTTAAGAATAGGGTCTGTGTCAAACATCATGTGAGTGAAACACCATTACTAAGAATAAATGAGATTAATATAATTAAGGATTTCGCCCTTGACTACATGCATTTATGTTACTTAGGGGTAATGCGAAAACTTTTATATTGGGTAAAAAAATGTGATTTTAAAAGCGTTAGGCTGCCATTAAGGTTAAGACATATAATTTCAAAGAGACTAAAATATTTTGCTTCCTCAATACCATCCGAACTTAATCGTAAACCAAGATCCTTGGATGATTTGCTTAGGTTTAAAGCAACTGAGCTCAGGCTTATATTGCTTTATTTGGGCCCAGATATATTCTGTGGTGTGTTAGACAAAAATGTGTATGACCATTTTATACTTTTTCATGTTGCTATAAGAATTCTTTTATCTCCGAAATATGTCGATACTGATTGGATAGATTTGGCAAAAGAAATTCTTACTAGTTTTGTAGATAATTTTATTAACTTGTATGGTCGTGACTCATGTATCTACAATGTTCATAGTTTAATACATTTAGCTGATGATAGTTCACACTTTAAAACGACTCTAAATGAAATTAGCTGCTTTCCATTTAAAAGTTTCTTAGGAAGATTTAAAAAAAATGATAAGGAAACCCAATCAACCTCTAGAACAAATTTGTAAAAGAATTTCAGAAAATGCTGAATTGTTTTGTTCTTTTGAGGAGATGACATCAAAATTTGAAATTAACAATTCTTTCAAATATTTACAGACACCAACATTTAAAATAAGATTCAACGCCAATAATATAAAGGATTGTTATGTTTTTCTAAGTGATGGACGATTAGTTAAAATAGTCGACTCTTCAGAAAATTATCTGATAGGATATTATTCTGATACACTTAAAAAATTATATAACTATCCCATTCCACCAAAGGATGTCGGCGTTTTTAGATTTAAAAGGTTTCTGATTGAAGAAAAAGTACATGTATTGTTTGATGAAATAGTTTCAAAAGCAATGGTTTTAAAGTGTGGCACTTATTATGCTGCATTTGAAATTTTGCATTTGTATAAGTAGAGCAGGGTTTATTGATTGACATACGAGGTCCGGGTGTCCGTTTTTTGAGGTCAACCATTGGGATCTCGGAAACGGTAGGAGATACGAGATCGGTTAAATTAGGGCAAAGTTGAGTAATTTGATGCTCAATGAAATGCCGTTTTGTCAGTTGCTAAATTCCGAACACTTTCGGAGATATTCGGAAAAAACCGAAATTTCACAAATGGGTTTTTATTTTTTCCTGGACTTATTTGATGAGATTTTTCAAAACAAATGCCACTTCAGCATTGCCACTTTCTCTCCTCTACAAGACGGCACCATCAAATTTCAGATCCGACGTTTCGTCGCAGAGCGCCCATCATCAACTTTATTATTTTGAATACGGCCCTGTATTTTTGAATAATTTTTTCACAGCTCCTCAAAGCATTGACCTATCACAACCATGGATAAAATCGCAATTTTCTTTAGTTAATCTATCTATCTCTCCTTAATACAGTACTGTAGCCATAAGTCCGTCTTTTATCCAGAGCCACTAAGTTAAAATCTGCGAAACTAAAAATTTAGGACATGTACATTTAAAAAAAAAAAACGATACTTTTGTAGTATCTGTATCATCAAGTTTTTCCACGTAAATCGCTTTGGATAAAGACGGACTTATAGCTAAAGTATTACATTAAGAAGAGATAGATAGATTTACTTGCTTCAATCAAGTTTTACCAGGAAAATTGTGATGCATCGATAGGTATGATAGGTCAATGCTTTAAGGAGCTAAATAGGCTCTCAAAAAGTTATTCAAAAGTGCAGGACTGTATTAAAAAATAACAAAGTTGATGATGGGCACTCTGAGACGAAACGTCGGATTTGATGGTGTCATCTTGTAGAGGAAAAAAAGTGGCAACAATGAAGTGACATTTGTTTTGAAAATCCTTTTACAATAAGCCCAGAAAAAAATAAAAACACTTTTGTGATGTGAAATTTCGATTTTTTCCGAATATGTCCGAAAGAGTTTGGAATTTAGAAACTGACAGTCATTTCATTATTAAAATGGAAAATTATTTGATAATAATACTTAGAGGTGTACGTATATAATTATTAATTGTAATACCGACCAGGGCCAGCTCTAGAGATCTTGGCGCCCCGAGCAAAACTGAAATCTAGCGCCCCCCATTCAAGAATTTTTCAGTGCTAATGGGGTTAGGTTAGGTTTAGGATGCCGCCCTTTGGCCCCTTTGTGACTCTATTAAATTTTGTATAAATTTAAATAGGAAATTCACGTAAATTGCGTTATCTTTGGTGACTTTAATTAACTACGTTACTTTCGGTGATTTTTGCGCCCCTTGCCCCCTTTATCTTCGCGCCCCGTGTCATTTTTTATTCTAGGTCTACCGAGGGGTCTACTCTACTTATTGGGTATGAATTCTAAAAGAAAAAAGAGGGTTTCGGGGTTCTTTATAAACGACGCCAAAAGAGATCCAGATTAGTCTCAATAGTAGCAGCTCATAATCGAGCAAGAGTGGATCCAACTGGCACAATAACACAAAGTGTCGTTAGTAGTGGGCACTCGAGGGGGCCTCATTGTTCAGTTAGTAGTAAGATTGTTTTCTCTGAACAGGATTTATTATATGCTAATGAAGTTGCCTCAGACGTAACGAATAAAGAGTGTGATTTCGAGCCAGCACAACAGCAGATATTTCCAAATGGAAAATCAGAAGAAATTTCATTTTCAAGTAAATTAAGTAAATCGGCTATTACAGAAAGAATTCCACAGACTGCACTTCACAGTTTGTTAAAACTCTTAAAAGATAATGTTTCCACAGAAGACCTCCTGAATCTGCCATTGGACTCTAGAACCCTTTTAAAGACACCTTCCGAGACAAATATTATTAGTATGGGTGACGGTGTTTATTATTATTTTGGTGTTAGTGAGTCTATTGTTAACTTATGCATTAAGTATAAAGTTCACTTGGAAAATGATTCAAAAACTTCTATAGCTGTAAACATAGATGGGGCCCCCTTGTTCAAAAGTTCAAATGATTCTTTCTGGCCAATACTTTGTCGGATCAATAGCATTGAATCTTTGAAGTTTGAGGTTTTTTGTGTGGCTTTGTACCAGGGTAGGACTAAACCAAATAATGCTTATGATTATTTTTAAGGGATTTCGTTAAAGAAACTTCTGATTTAAGTAACAGTGGAATCATTATTAATAACAAAAGCTTCGATTTTGTTGTGAACATGTTAATATGTGATTTGCCAGCTAAATCTTTCGTTTTAAATATAACGGGACACAATGGATACTTCAGTTGCACTAAGTGTACATTAGAAGGTGACTTTTCAAACACTTTATATTTTCCAGAAGTAGAATATACTAAACGGGCTAATGATTCCTTTAGATTGCACCTACAGCCTGAACATCATAACGGCAGAACTATTTTAGAAAACATACCTAATTTTAATATGGTTGAATCTGTCCCTATTGATTACATGCACTGTATTCTATTGGGAGTAATGAAAAGAATATTGTATCATAAAACTTTTGGATGGGTTTTTGGCAAACCCCCTTTTAAGCTCCAGGCATCCAAAGTCAATTGCATGGCTCAGAAACTACAACAGATAAAACTTTTTATACCCTTTGAATTCAGCCGTAAGACTAGAACCATTCTTGATTGCCGAAGATATAAGGCTATTGAGTTTAGGTTATTATTGCTTTATACAGGAATTATTATTTTTAAGGATGTTGTCCCTACTAAATACTACAACAATTTTCTCTGTTTAAGTTTAGCTACACGCATACTTTGTTCTCATGAGTTTGTAATAAATCCTTTTTTACTTGAATATGCAGAAGATCTCTTGAAGCATTTCATAATTAAAGCAAAAAGTATATACCGACCTGATTTTGTTTCACTTAATGTCCATAATTTATTACATATTACTGATTGTGTCAGATTGTTTGGCAATTTTAGTGCTTTTCCTTTTGAAAATTTCATGCCCCAACTGACCAAAATGGTTAGAAAATCAGCTTTTCCTATCCAACAATTTGTAAGAAGGTTATCGGAAAGAAATGAAATTCAAATAAATGTATCTGGTAAGGAAAATAGTAACAAGTTTTTTTTGAACATTCAAGGGGGCCACTTTTGAATAATTGTAATTCACCTCAATATAGAGTAATTCAAACTCAGTCGTACAGACTTAATACTTCAAAGTTGGCAGATTCTTTTGTGGAATTACGAGATGGTAATTTATTTCAAATTAAAAGTTTTGCAACATGCCAAGGTAAACTTGTTCTGATTGGATATACTTACTTCAAAGTTCAGCCGTTATTCAAAAAAACCAATAAATTCAGATTATTTTGGAATAAATTATATTTCTAAAGCTTGTAACATCTTGTCTTTACATACATTAGATTCCATAAAAACAAAAGTAATGGTATTACCCTTTAACACAAGTTAGTTATTTTAGGTATTTACAGTGTGTCAATGGATGGGATCAAAATGAAAGTTCTGCATAAAAAATAATTATATTGAGGCCTCCCCTACAAAGTTACGTGCCCCTAAAGGACGCCTCTGAAAATCGTTTTTTTGTTGATAACTTTCAAAATACACACACAAACACACTTGGCCAATCTAGTTTGCCAGGGACGGACTAGCTTCAACACAATAATGCCAATTTTTTTTACACCCTGTTTGATATAGGCATAGCAATAATATTTTTAGATAGTTTCAACCTTGAACTAGAAAAAAGGTACTCTCATTCGATGTCGAAAAAATGAGCTGCTTTCGAGAAAAATCTGTTTTTGTGTATTAATGGTTTTTTATTAAATAATTTTTTGTGTCGACTCAACATGAAATCGTTCTAATCTTATGCATTCCATACCTATTTTAATGAAAGATTGTTCGACTGTCGACAATGCTTCAATATTAGCCCTTATTTCGCGACAGTGAAAATTAATCATTTCTACTAATATTTCTAGTAATATTTCCTCATTATTGCGTTAAAGCTAGTCCGTCCCTGGAAAACTAGATTGGTCAAGTGTGTTTGAGAGGGTCCATTTCAAGGGGTCTTATCTAGTATCCATCATATTAAAAGAAAAAAAAAATACACGGAGTATTTTGAAAGTTACCAACAAAAAACCTATTTTCAGAGGCGTCCTTTAGGGGCATGTAGCTTTGTAGGGGGGGGCCGTAGGAATTTTTTTTTATAGGAACTTGTCACTTTATTTTTTTTGTGTTCTATCTGAATCCGAGAGATTGCCCACATATTCTGGGACACCATGTATCTTTTGACGAAACATTTTTCTACTTTTACAAACGTTATTTTACTTTGTTTAGCTCTAAGTTTTTATGGATTGATTGAAATTACAGTTGCACTTTTAGGCTTTAAAAGGAAATGGTAAAATTTCCCATTTTACATATTGTATTTTTAGTTCATCCAACTTGAACCGTGTTTTAATCATTGCCCATTTAAATTCAATTTTTTTTAAAGTTGGATGTACTAAAAACTTATAAAAGTTATATTTCATCTGTGATTAAAACAGATGTTTTTTATTTCAACTGATAGAGTAGTAAAAATCAAAAAAAGAAAAGATTCTAAGTTAAATTTCCAACCCAATTAAAATTTTTGCTCTTTTTAATGAACAATATTAGGTATTTGAAAATAGTCCAAGTAAGACAACAATGCAAGATTTCTAGTTAGAATATTACCCAGAATAGAAAAAAATAGGATATATTCTAGGGTGTTTATTTCTAAAACTAGGTGTATGCCAAGATTATAATATTTTAAAATAATAAAATAAAATTAGGTAAGATCTTAGGATTTTTTATTACCTCTATTGATGGGCCACTTTCACGTGCCGGGAATATGGCAAATTATGATATTTTTTGACGCAGATACATCAATGCAACTGAGAATGAACAATATTTTGTAAAATTTTAGTCAGATTATTAAATAAAAATTAGAAATTTAAACAAAAAATCACGTGATTGAAACGCCCTCTGATTGGCTAAAGCCGATTTTGACGTTTTTGTTGCCACATGTAGAAATGCGAAATTTAAATGAGTTAATAAGGATTATACCTATCCTTCATGTTTTTATAATGTAGTAAAGGACGAAAAGAGTTTCTAGCTAGTGAAATGTGTAATGATTTACTAATGAGAAATTTGGCATCATCGCATGTTTGTTGATTTTCGGGTTTGTGACATGACAAACCAGCCTCGCTTTTTCGCGCTAGTTCAAAAATTCGATTTTTAAATAAATTTTTTGTCAAAAATAAGCACTTTTTTTTTCAGAAAAAAAGTATACAGATAGAATGACTAAAAGGATAAGTATACAGATAGAATGACTAAAAAGATAATTTAAATATGTATGTAGATAAAGGTAAAAAGATGACTTGGAGTGTGGTGAAGTTTACTAAGGAGAATTGTGTGGAATGTGTACCAACTCTGTGGTATATACAGAGGTCATGTGAATGTTTTTGGCCTCCAAGCAAATGCAAGCGAGAAGCTATTCTTAAATATATACAAACCAAAGTAGAACCTCAGAGTGACTGGTTAGTATATCCTGCAACATTGTTGGGGACATTTGGTAAGGTTTTAGACATGTTAGGTTACAAGTAGGTATTTCAGATTTTTAAATTTTCAGATGACTTCAATATTGCACAAAAAAAAAACAGAAAAGCAATTGATACCAGTGATATTGCATCCACCAGTGAGAATTTACCATTGAAAAGAAAAAGAAAAAGAAAAGCAGGAAATTAGTGTCGCCAAACTTAACAGACATATCCTCTGAAGATGACTTTCCTGTAGTCAAAAAAGGAATGTTTGGTCCATGTAAGGCATGTTTGATTGTAAAAACTATCCAAAACTTCCTTACCAGAGTGTTCATAATTCAGATATTAACGTATGGTTTTTCTCCATTTAATATATTATTTACTTTTTGGTCTTATATAAACGGAATTATAACACATTTAGTACTTCAACATAATTTTTGTTCGATATTTTATTATTTTTATAACATATATGGATTTAATTTAATTAGAAAATTTTGTATTGATTTTCTCTGCTTTTCCATCCATAGACGCGTTTCGACCTATCTTCTCATCAGCATGGTTAGGAAAAGCAAAGAAAACCATTCCAAGTTTTGTGCCTGTAGGCAAAATACAAATAGTACGACGGTCGAAATTTGATCGTGGCGCCATCTAAGACAAAGATTCAACACTAAACAGCAATTTTTGCTGTAATTTAGTGATTGACTATCTAATCGGCTTACCAAAATTCAGTTCGTGGGAAAATCAATCCAAAATTTTCTCATCAGTGGATAATAGGCTTTCCTATTCTGGGTTTTCCCACGAACTGAATTTTGGTCGGCCGATTAGATAGTCAATCACTAAATTACAGCAAAAATTGCTGTTTAGTGTTGAATCTTTGTCTTAGATGGCGTCACGATCAAATTTCGACCGGCGTACTATTTAATTTAATTTGTAGATACGTCAGCTGCAAAAGCAAGTAAAAAAGACTCATTATTGCGTGCAAGATCCAGCAGCCTTTCTTCATTAGATTCTCCTGAAAAGTCTAATTTTAAATGTGTAGCAAAGACTATTCAACGGAGCTATTCAGATGGTAAGTAATTTTTTTGTTTTGATTTTAAAAGATTTAACAGGCGTGATGGTGAACTTTTTAATCTATTTTTTTGATGAAATTATTTTTAGAAATTTTTGGTTTGAGATCAGATCCCGAGCTACATACTTCTATATTATCAGCCACAAACACAAGCTGTGTACGATCTGTGCCTATTATTACTACATCTGGACGGTCCGAAAGAACTGCAGAAGAAACGTCGGAAGAGTCGCGTCCCGGGCCAATAAGTACTTCAGTGCCAAAAACAATAAGTTGCCTGCAAGGATCGTCCAGTATTTTGCAAGGAAACCATGTTGCAAAATTTTCATCTGGTAACTGTCCTCTCAAGCCCTAAGATATCATTCCTCTATGTTTAATGATTTTGGTGCTGCTAATTAGGCTTTTGGAGAATATTTTATAATAAAAATTTATCCTTTATTTTGCTTAATCTTGTATTTTTAATTACCACGGTAACACATTCAAAAGCAGTTAGCAGAAAAAAATATAAGAAATGTTTTATACGGATGAAAGTAGGTAACTTTTCGCTACGTTCGTCTGTCAAAATACAGTTGCACCACGAATAGTGGCACTATCTCTCCATATACATAGAACAATATATATCCTGTTCACAATCCGATGTCCACAGGTGCAGGTACACTTATCACCTTTCCCTATCAAATAGCATTGAAAGATGATAAATTTTACCGGTACCAGTGGACATCGGATTGTGAACGGATAATACTATTATTTGTACCTAGTTGCAATGCCTGACAAACAAGGGACACAAAGGCTTCCTTCGAAAATACACACCTCAGCACAGGCACTTGCTGATCCAGGTAATTTCTCAAAATATTAACCAATAATAAGAAGCTTTACATGTTTTTTTTCTTCAGATTTTAAAAAGTTAGTAACAGACGAACTTTCAAGATTACATTTAAAAGTTGATGACAATGTCAATAGTGTGTTACAATTACTGCGACAAAAGGAAGTAAATATCAAAAATGCATCTTTGGATGAAATACACAGCCTTCATAACAGGTTACCTGTGCAGTCCAAACAGGACCTAATTGAATTGGAAGAATGGCTTCAAGATAAGGACCATTATAAATTAGCGGTATGTCATTATAATTATTAAAAATATGCTATGGTAGGAGCGTTTTGTATGTTTATTAAAAAAATTATCATATATCTTTTCAGCTTAATGAGTTTCAAAGGTTTGGACGGCAGTCGTTGGCCCAAGCAACTAGGAAAATTTTATATAGAACAATAAGCAATGATGCAGCCATGAGCTACTCATGGGATGGAGCGAGAGGAAAAAATCCCTTCAAAACTCTTGCACTGGCTAAATGTTTGCTAGGTATGTATAGTGTATAGTGTGAAATAATTGTGTTGAGGCTACATACTGAAAGGTTATTTTTTTAGACGCTAATAAAATTCAATATCCAACTGCGAAGGAAATGGAAATAGTTAATGTAATTAAAATGTGGCTGGTTAAGGCCAAAGAAAGAGCCAAGAAGGTAGAAATAGCTGTGGCACCAAACGATACTAACCAGTGATAAATTTTTTCTAGTTCTGATTAGCCTAGGAAATCAACGACCGCTTTTGGTTAACATCTCATAGTATGGGTCTTGACATTATACCTAGAGCATAGACTCGAAAACTTATACAAAAATCTCACTTACAGGTTTTACACGGTGTTCCAGATTCATGGCTCATCATAGGAATTTCGGAAATGGTAAAAAATAGAGATGTGTTTTGAATTCGAAAAACTTCAAAAAAACATTGTGTAAAACCCAAGATAAAGTGCATGATTTTTGTTGTCTCCGTACTGCTATGAGGCATTTGATATTTACCAAAACCAAAATCGGTCATATCCACTATAGTTTGTAAGGCTGGTTTTTATATAAATATACCAATCATTTCAAACTTAAGAAACCTACTGTTTTATATTTACAGGGTGTACCATAAGTCACGATCTAAACTGAAAGGGGTGATAGAGGAAGTCATTGCTGACAAAAAAAAAAAACCTGTATATGTTACAATTCTTCACGGATTTCAAGATATTCGAATTTTATTGATTTTACTAAACATGGGTTATACAGAGTGAATCTGAAAGTGAGGGTTTTTCTTTAACAAGGTATATATCTCGCCAAAATAAGTTGTTTAAGATAACGGATGTACAGGTATTTTGGGGTTAGGTGCATTAAAAATCTAATTTCAATAATCTAAGATTTAGTAGAGAAAATATGATAAAAAACATCACAAAAATTGTTCAAAATTATTCCCATTTGTCTGATGCTTCATTTCCCTCCTAAATTTTATCTGTTTCACTTTAAAACGAAAATTGATAGGTTGAAATTTTTTATTTTTTCTGATGGAATAATGCAACTGTGAGTACCTATTATGGAATAAGACTCATTATGCTAAACTAAAAATGGCTTTTTTGTGGGTTTTTTTTTAAAAGAAAATGTAAACAAAGTGATTTATAGTAGAAGTCTCCTCTAATAGACACTGAGATAGGGCCTGTTTAGTGGAGTCATTTTTTTTTTTTGTCTGGCATTTTGAGGGATGAATGTGGCTAGTTAGCTGATGAGAATATAAGTGGTTTTAATGCCTGCCACCTGTTCGAAATGTCCACAGAATGTTTCGCCGGAAAACTCGATTTCGAACTGTGATTATCGTCTGGCGATTTTTCAGCGTTATTTTTACAACAAAACCTTTTATTTTCCCGAATGCTAGAGAAAAAGCAACTTCCGCGTTTGCGTTCTTTTCTTTTCTTTTCTATTGGAAGTTGACACCCATCCCCACTTTTTCAGCTATTGAAAAGCATCTGGTATTTTTCATGGGTGAATGATTTATCAATGTCAATCTTTTATTTAAAAGCCAGAAAATTTGAGATCATTAAAAAAAAATTCTTCATGTAAATCCATTTTTTTCTTTTGCAAATTTTCGAACGGGAGGCAGGCATTAAAATGACGCATATTTTCATCGGCTTAGTAGCCACATTCAGCCCTCAAAATGCCAGACAAAAAAAAATTACTCCACTAAACAGCCCCTATCTCACAGTCTATATAACCTCAAAATAGCTGTACCTCCGTTATCTTAAACTTTTTATGCAAACAATTTTCTGCCAAACAACTTATTTTGGTGAGATATACATCCTGTTAAAAAAAAAGCCTCCCTTTCGGATTCACCCTGTATTGGTTAAGAAAGGAAATTTGCAAGTAAAGTAGAAAAAAAAAGTAATAGGGCCTTTCAGACCAATGTGGCCTTAATTGAATAAGGATAAATCAGGGTAGTTTTAACACATATGGGTTCACCTTTTTTCATCTTTGCTTTTTAAATTAATATCATTTGAACTTTTGCTGTGAATTGAATGAAACAAAAATAAGAGAGAAAAACTCCCTTCAAGTTCTTTAGCAAAAAGACAAAACCTCACATACTTATAAAAGCCTTAAGACAGACATTCCTGCTCATAATTAGAAAAAAAAATCAAACATGGGTTCGTTGGTTTTAACCATTGTAACCATGTTTGTTAAAATCAATAAAATTCGAATATCTTGAAATCCGTGAAGAATTGTATAGTAACATATAGGTTTTTTTTTTGTCAGCAATGACCCCTTTCAGTTTGGACCGTGACTTATGGGACACCCTGTAAATATATATACAGGGTGTATATTTTAAGTGATACCACTATGGCTATATACGAAACGGTAAGAGCTACAAGGTCGGTTAAATTAGAAAAAAGTTGCTTTTTTTGATGCTCATTCAAGACTTGTTTACAGTGTTGCCAAAGTCCTTTTAGTTTATGAAATACAGGGCGATTTATAAAAAAGGCCCAAAATTATTTCGTCAATTATTTTGAAAACTATTGATATTCGGGACACAATTTAAATTTGAAAGTCTTATAATTTTTTTCGCTCTACAACATGGCATCTTCAAATTTTAAATCCGACGTTTCGTGATCGAGATACTATCATCAACTTCATTTTTTTAAATACGGACCTGGATTTTTTATGTCATTTTTGGAAAGAGAATTAAGGGCGCTTCCTAAAAATGACATAAATAATCCAGGTTCGTATTTAAGAAAATTAAGTTGATGATGGTATCTCGATCACGAAACATCGGATTTGAAATTTGAAGATGTCATGTTGTAGAGCGGAAAAGATTATAAAACTTTCAAATTTAAATTGTGTCACAAAAATCAATAGTTTTCTAAATAAATGATGAAATATTTTTGGACGTTTCTTAGAAATCACCCTGTATTTCATAAACTAAAAGAAATTTGGCAAGACTGTAAACGAGTCTTAAATGGGCATCAAACAAGGCAACTTTTTTCTAATTTAACCGACCCTGTAGCTCTTACCGTTTCGGATATAGCAATAGTGGTATCACTTAAAATATACACCCTGTATTAGTTGAATTTTTTTTTTTCGGGAATGCGGTCTTTAAATGTTGAAAAACTCAATTGCTCTTAACTCAATATTTCAAAATATTGAGTTAAGAGCAATTGAGTTTTGTAACATTTACAGACCGCATTCCCGAAAAAAAAATTTCAACTAATAAATTTGTACGTTTATAGCAGCTTTCTCTTGACTGTTCAAACGCAAATTTAGTATTTTCATTCATTAATTATTATTATTCTTTGTTTGGCATGGCTTTAAATAACAAAATCTGCTAATAATAACATAGCAGCAGAGCAATAAATAAATATTTTTCCGAATTTTTTTTTTGAGTACCTAAAGCATTGGAAAAAGTTTGCTAAATTTTAGTGAGAACTTCTTTTTATTTATTTAGTTTTTAATATTCATAAAAACCTAGGTTAGAAAATACCTTTTACTTTGCTTTTATTTAACAAATTTATAATGTTTATCTCTCTGACAGAAAATATATTTTGTTACATATTTTAAATATTTATGGTTTTATTTCCACATGGCTTGTAAAACAAAATACATAAACCATATTGATAAAATGAAATTATTGTGAAAATAATAAATAAAATAATAAAATTTAGTCGTTGACCAACACTAGAGTAAACTGTATTTTATACTTAGTCTCGACACACGTTTCACTAACCATGTTCTAGAGAGTTTTTTAATGTCCTCCTGGTAACTAAAAAGTGTCAAGGGGGTGAGTAAAATACAATTTATTCGATGGTCGTGAAACCTATCTTATAATAGTTATTTACCTACTCGCGTGCGGTAAGTAAGTAGCACTTTACCGCACTAGTGCGGTCAAGTAATAACCATTGTTACCAGTGTCTTTTTCATTGTCAGCCTAGTTTTCAGTTTGTCAGTTTAGCATTTTTCCAATGGAGAATTGCTAATTTACAAATATTATTTATGTTCTTAAGTAAAATTTTGTACCTTACACTTGCTGCAATCTGACAAAATGACAATACCTACAATGTAGAATAAGACGCTGATGGTAACAATATTTTTGTCAAGTTACTACCTTACCGCACTAGTGCTGTAAAGTGTGGCTTACCTCACTCAAATCAGTGCGGTGAAGTTGAAGTACACGCTTTACCGCGAGCGAGTAGGTGAAAAGCATTTAATTGTCACATGTATATCATATGAATTTTATGTGAATAGTTTTAATTAAAGAATATTATTATCAATAGTAATATAACTAGTGCAATGGAAATTATTGATGATTTTTGGGAAATTTGCCCGAATGCAAGAGCACGAGTGCACGTAGTGCACGAGTGCCTTTTTCAGTTAAAAACGCATGAGTGCAAATTTGTCGAAAATTATAAATATATTTCCATTGCACGAGTTGTATTTAATGAGAATTTCATAAATCAAAAATTTAAATTTTTTGTCAAAAAATGTCAAAACACCAGTTTTCGCACCAGTTACTATGCAATTATCTGATAATTTGCACTAGTGCAAATTATCAGATAATTGCAATCTGATTGGTTCAAATCAACAATCAAAACATGTCAATTCATTGTTGGAATACCAGTTTTGACAGATGTATGAAATTCTCACCTTAATTTCATATTACTGGAACATTCTCAAAATAGGAAAGGAATATGATATTCATATGCAAGGTCAGGTTTTTCGAACATTCTTATCCTTTCCGCCAAAGAACGTGATACGGACGTGATAAGAATATGCTACGGCACATGCTCAGAACGTGGCATAGAACCTCCTAAAGGGGTTCTGTAATCTATTCTTAGCATGTTCTTAGTTAATTCTGAATGATATTTGGGAATGTGAATAGAATATACATATTACATGGAGGTAGCTTCTTAGCAGGTGATATGAATATGAATTTGTTTTTTGGGAATTGTGTATTAATATTTATAACTGATTAGTTTTTTTTCCATACACTGTCATATTATGTAAATCTTGAATAAAATTTAATCTTCATAATATGTACGTACAAAGAATAAAATAACAACAAAGTACTTCAAGTAGTTGAGCCCCAAAAGTATCACAGATTTTGTTCCTGTATTTTTTGTAACTAATGGTAAAATTTACTTTTCCTACAGCCGTGCGGAAAAATCGATTTTCCGCACTGATATGCGTGCGGAAAATGAGTTTTCCCG